GATACCTTCAATGAGAATCTTGATGGAGGTCAAGCTAGAAGAAGCTGAATGAATCCAGAACAAATATGACCAACTAAACTTCATTGATGAAAATCGTATGACCGCTATGTCCATGGACACATGTATCATAAACGGCTCAAGAGGGAATTTGACAATAAAGTCATTCTTCGGAAATTTAAATAAGGATATCTCGTGCTCAAGAAGATTTTGCTTGTGCACAGAGATTTACGTGGGAAAAGGACTCCTAACTATGAAGGCATGTATGTTGTAAGGAAGTCCTTCTCCAGAGGTGCCTTGATTCTTACAACTATGGATGATGAAGAGCTCTCATACCCCGTGAACTCTGATGTAGTCTAAAAATATTATGCATAATAAAAACCCGCTAAGTCAAAATCCTGAAAATGCGACTTAGGCAAAAATGGGTGTCCCGGTGGATTGAAAACCCGAAAGGGTGATACAGGCAAAAGTTAGGGATAAAATAAAAAAATGATAGCTCGCTAAGTTGAAAACCCAAAAGAGAGGCTTAGGAAAAATTTGGTTTATAACTGGAACTTTGTTTGCAAATCTAATCATAATTGGTCCCTGAAGTTTGGTTGTCACTATCATCATTTAAAGTTCTGTTGTAATTGGTATCAATCTGTTAGAAGTTGGTAGTAGCCAATACTTGCAGTCTAAGTCTAATTGTTGTTGGCACATACAAAGAGTTTGATTACCCTGATTTCTTGATGGTTCCTATAAAGTCATGTATGACTCTTCATTTTTAAGGAATCCCAAAAGTTTGGATGTTATTCTAGTTAGAAAACTTCAATGATGTTTGTTTTGATTGATTTCTTCGTAAGGAATTGTCATAGCCTCTTACATGGATGATTTTCTTGTAAGAAAACTTCAATAGGTTGAATGGATAATCTTTTCGTAAGAAGACTCCTAATCTTGTTTGTGTGGATGATTTTCTCGTAAGAAAACTTCAATATATTATGTGGATGATCTTCTTGTAAGAAGACTCTAATTTATTCTTGTCTTAGATAAATTCCCTATGAGGAACCTCCAAAACCTTTGATTGAATGAATTTCTTGTGAGAAATCTCCAAATTTGTTAGATATGTTCTAAAGTGTCAAGTCATGTATGAACCTATTGATAAAACACACTTTGAATATTCCCCATTTGTCTTTTCCTCAACAATTTGTTATCCCTAGTGAGTCTTCACCCTCATTATCATTATCATTATTTATGAGTCATTGTTACCTATCTTCATCATTCCCCATAGTTCTATCCATTCATCCATCATAAAAATCATGCTAGGATTCACATCATATCCCCAACAAACCAAAAAAAAAGGAGGAAGTCCCTCAGCTTATAGCATAACATATCATTACATCTAGGGGAAAAATTAGGGTCTTATGTATTTAAATACCTTTCACCTGATCTCATGAGGATTATCATTACTCATGCTATATGGTAAAGATATTTAAATAAGGACAACTGTCATACTCTAAATTTTGCCCCACCTAATTCATCTGCATTCATGCATATGCATTCATTCATTGGTGTCTCATTTGAATCAATATACATTTCATCTAGTAATTGATTAGTCTTTAGTGTATGAAGTCAAAAAATTGTACCTTTTCATCAGATCATTTGAATAGTCAGAAAATGGTATTCAATGTCCAAGTACATGCGATATTCATTTTAAGTTTCTTTAAGAGAATGAGTGTTCTCTTTGTACATTCATTTGAGATATTTGGAGTTTTGGTCAGCTTTAAGTCCCATAAAGCTCATTTCATCCATATACCATGTTTCTTAAAGTTCTTTGTTTGTCTAGATTTGCATGCATTCATTCATTTTATTGATGAAACAAGTTTAATTCAATAATACATGCAGTCATTCATCATTTTTATTTTCCAATAGATATTCATTTGTCTAAAATGTTATTTGTGATTCAAAGTTTGTTTTGCAAAACTCAAAGGGAAAGGCATAAATTTCATATGTTTCGCATTACATTACTAAAAGTTTCACAAAATTGTAAAAAAGTCAATAACGTTTTACATTCATTTTAATATTTTCCATTACATGTTGACATTGGTTACATAAAACAAGTCGAAAAATAAAAATCCTAAAACCTAATCTTCAAATTTCCAATAGCTCCATGTTTTCTCCAACTTCAAGCTTTCCATGCCATGCCACCTTGTATTCATGTTGATCTATTGCCAAATTCATTACCATGATAAATTATCTAATACCTAACATCAAAATAAATGAATCATTTCATCCAAAATTCAAAGTTTCAAAAGAGAGGGAAGTGGAAATTACTGATATGGTGAAATGGTAAAAAGTACATCGAGGTTTCATTGTCACAAAGAGATAAATTCAGAAGTGCATAAAAGTACAGCAGAGCAAACATACACCAATTTGCTAAAACAATTTGTGGCATCTTATAAAGTCTAACAATTTCATTACCATGAGTATCACCCATAAAACAAAACACATCATATTAAACCCTATCCATCCCTCATTATATATTCAACAATAAGAAAATAGAGGAGGAAGTCATTAAAAAAAATAGCAGCCTCAAGAAACTCAAAACATCAGCAAACCCCTAATCACCATTTCAAATCTCACATCTCACTAATTAATCATAAACAACACACCCTAGCAGTAACATTGTTCTAAAACAAAGAGAAGCATAAAAAACAGTAGCACTAGTAGCCATAATCGAGCATATAAAAGGCCATCAACCATTAACAACCATCAAATATCATACCTTCACGCACACATCAAAAATTAAAAAAAAAAGCCATCATGTTCATATATCAGAAGCAAAAACGAAACCTAGTTTATTAAGATCCAGAAACATAATAAGACACATCAAGATAATCAACATTCATCACTCCATAGTCTAATATCATTCGAGCAAGAATTGATAATATCAACTATAGAAAGGAAAAGAGGAATCGAGGAAACGAAAGAAGGGAGATCCGAGCAGAAGCTTACTTGACTTTTTTCGTCACTGAAGGACACACATTTGGTATATACTCTTTTATCTCTTTGTTTTCCTTTTCTGTCATCCATGTATCCCATGCTTGTTTGATGCGGTGCTCTTCGAGTTTTGTTTCGAGTCGCCTTTGCTCAAATTATAGTAGCAGAACTTAGCTTTGTTTAATAGTGAATTTTCTTTGGTTTCGATAGAGATGAGAGAAATGTATGCAGGGAGAAAGGTTTGGTTTTGATGATTCATTGAGTTTGTGCTTCCATGGCCGATGGATTCGTTTTTCGTTTTCATAGAAAAGGGAAATATATCGTGTTTTTGTGAAAAGAACAAAAGAGAAGAGCTATTATGCAAGTAAGATTAGGGTTCCCTTTAACCCTTCTTACTTTGAACCAAGTCGGGTATGGGTCAGGAAACCCGACTCGTTGCCCTAAGACACGAGCGCCCCACTTTGTTTGCTTTCATGGGCTTCAATCCTGTTTCTATATGAGAAAATTTCGTCCAATGGTTGTTAGATCATTGAATATGGAGAAAGATTATTTCACACCATTAGAAAAGGATGAAAACAATTTACTAGAGTTATCGTATTTAGCATGTTGTAATAGGTTATGCAAATGCATGTTACTTGTCAGATCCTTGTAATGGTAGATCACAAACATGTTATTTGTTTACTTATGATGACATAATTATTTAATGGGGATATGTAGAACAAAACATATTAATTATTTTATCTAATCATGCAAAACTTTTAGCACTACATGAAGCAAGTCGAGAATGCATTTGGTTAAGATCCCTAATTCAACACATACAACAGACTTGTGGTTTGTCTTTTGGAAAATAAATACAACAACCATATATGAAGATAACACTGCATGGATCACTTAATTGAAAGATGATTGCATTAAAGAAGGTTGAACAAAACACAATTCTCCCAAGTTCTTTATCACTCATAATCTTTAGAAGAGTTGTGATATATGCATCCAACAAATCCGTTCATGTACCTTTTCTCAAAGTCACTCCCAAATAGAATTTCTAACCAATTAGTACAAAACATTGATCTTCATCTTCGGAAAAATATTCTTTCAATTGAGAGAGAGAAATGAATAATTTATATTGATTAGTAATGAAACAATTCTCTCACAAAAAAATGTTATACTCTTTTTTCCTTACTACCATTTTTTCAACTGAATTTTTCTAATAAAATTTTAAAAGGCATATTCTTGATATACATCTAAGAAAAATGTTATAAATAATATGATTATAGACATCCATTCATAAGTGAATTCATATTAATTTTTTATTTATTATATATTTTTTATAAATAAAACTCATATTATATTTGACAGATACATTTATAATAAAAATAATACAATACTCTTTTTCTTTTCTCTTCTACTTATTTTGTCTTGTTTCATAATAACATATCTGAATTAATAAAAAATATTTATAAATAAATAATATTAATATAATTAAGTAAAATCGTTATCTTTTTCTTTTAATTATCGATGTTCTTGGTGGGATGATATGAGAACTAGGGAGTAACCTGGAACATATGTTTCATGTTGTATTTATGGTATGATGATTAATATTTAATACGTCATTTAAAATGAGATGTAAACGAATGTGGGCCCACAAGAGTTTTCTTAACAATGTTAACTTGGTAAAACTTGGGGAACAAGATGTTATAATGCCAACACTCGTTTATCGAAGCTCGACCTACTGTTCTATATCCGAACCACATAGGCTCGGTTTTGCTTCGGTCAACGGTAGGCCCAACCAAACCACAGGCTCGTTCCTTCATTTAGTCACCCCGAAGCATAGGTTCGGTAACCGAGTCTCTTACGTGGCAAATACCAACAATACATAGGTCGAATTTCCCGCTCATTCAACACGCTGTCGCTTTCGCTTTTTCGATTGAAAAGAAAGAAAGAGAATTAATGAACTCAACAGTAAACACTGAGATAACTCTTCTACTTCATTGCTCTCTATCGATTGCGTTTTCTTCGTCATACAAATAATGGCTAGGTCAGTTTAGCAACACTGTATTTGTGTTACTGTGAAGATGCAACTTTTAATTTTGGGGTTTTTGTGGTATTGAAAATGCAACACTGATGTGTGATTTGTCTTACAGGAGCTGGCTTATTGACATTGGAGGATTTGCAAAGAAAGTCAAAAGAACTACACTCTCTTCAGCTGACCAGATTAAGGATTGTGGCGCATATCGCGAATGTCCAAACTGTCATTGTCGTATAGACAATAGTGATGTATGTTATGAATTTACAGTTTATTTTTGGAAAGTTTAGCAATGGTTTTAATGATTGTATTGTAGATATTTCATTAGTCATTACAAATGTTGTTTTTGCACTTGTAGGTTTCTAGTGAGTGGCCTGGCTTTCCGCTTGGTATCAAGTTTGATCCTTCTGATGTAGAACTATTAGACCATTTAGCGGCTAAATGTGGTCTTGGTAATGCAATTCCTCACATGTTTATAGACGAGTTCATACCAACATTGGAAGGAGACCAAGGCATCTGCTATACACATCCTGAAAATCTTCCAGGTGACAATTCTTTGACTAATTTCAACTACATAAACATTCACATTTATATGACTTATAAATGCTATGTTTATATAGTTGGAGTAGTTTGTATACCGGACAATCCCATTATTGCCACTTTTAGAGGAAAATATAGGCCTTATCTTTATGAATAATTTGGAATTTAATAGTATTGTCATTAGATACGTTTCATAATACGACATTATCGACTGTTTGATCCTTATGACAGACCTCGCCTAATAGAATAATGCTTTGGTTGTTATTTTATTTTAACCTTACAAAAATCAGCTAATACTGGACTATCTTCAGCATGCCAGCACTCAATGAGTGTCAGTTATGGTTCATTGAATCTCAATCATGATGTAACTGCCAATGCTGGCCTTACATTCAAGTTACAAGACCTACATTTTCCCCTGTAAACTAGAACCTAATCAAGATTTAGATCATTTGAATTAGAAAATAAGAATTATTAGACCTACCCTTGATTGATGGGATTGAGGAAAGGAAGCCTTCAAATAAATGTAGTGGCTGCTGATTATATTTCATAATTAATTTTCTACATGCTATGTTTATATGACTGTTGAATCATGTTGGTTGACATTTAGTGATATTTTTCTGTAACTAAGAACATTATTGTCTGTTTTGTTGTTTTAGGTGCTAAGAAAGATGGGAGTAGTGTTCACTTCTTTCACAGAACAATGAATGCATATAGTACTGGTCAACGTAAGCGTCGAAAGATTCAACATCATGGTTCAACCGAAGATCATGTACGCTGGCACAAGACTGGTAAGACCAAAGCTGTAATAGAAGATGGAGTACGTAAGGGCTATAAGAAGATCATGGTTCTGTATATAAGATCTGAGAAAGAGTCAAAATCCTACAAATCTGACTGGAAAATGCATCAGTACCATCTAGGGAATGATGAAGATGAGAAGAATGGAGAGTATGTGGTTTCAAAAATATTTTATAAACATAATGAAAAAAATGAGGAGAAACCAATGGCTGAAGAATCTGACAATATAACATCACGAACAAGTCCAAAGACTCCAAAACCAAATCCTCCAAACCCACTGCGCGCAGGAAAATGTGTTGGGAATGATGATAACATCGATGAAACTGCACTGATGTCATCTGCAGAGGTGCGCAGCAATATAGTATGATGCATATGGTTTAAAATATAAGTCAAATCTAAAGATTTCTGAAAACATAACTTTCAATTTCAATTACAAATATAACTCAGTTTTTTCTTTCTTTACTGTTTATTAAGATCTACTGGAACGGAGAAAATAAACGTTGAATACACATAAAAGTGAAAAAGTGATGATGCTTTTGTAATAAAAATAGGAAACTATAGATAGAAATGGAAACAGAGCGGGCCATATTATTCTCCCTTATAGAAGATAATAGTAGTTTTGCTCGTCATGATTTTCACTGAAATTTGTTCAAGTTCAAATGAGTAGTGAGTATAGAAGTAATGTAACAGTTTTACTCTAGTAGTAGTTATTATTATTATTATCATTATTTGACCATGTCTACTACATTCTATTGTTCATCTCTAAAATTTTAATTTTATGAACTAGGATGCCAAGTCTGTCCCTGTGGAATCACATGCCCCACAATCTGAAACTCAGGATCAGGACAATGCGGACAACTCTGCATGGTTGGTTGATGAATTACAGACCATGAAAAATTGCGAATACGACGGCTTGGATGACATATTATTGTGCAAGGAGATTTTAGATTCATCAGCTCTATTTGATGATTTTGGATTGAACTCAATCACTCCCAATGACCTTGCTTACTACGAAAACAAAATGACAGGAAATTGTAATGTAGCTAGTGAAACTTCAACTTCTGTTCTGGATACACTGGAATTGGATACTGCTCCAGATTATGATCTTTCGGTAAGCATCTGATTATGGTTATTGGTTACTCGTACTCACTTCACTTTTTAGAGTTTTACAAGTTAATGACATGCTTTGCGATTCTCAATTTGCATGCAGAATTTGACATTTTGTTCTCAAGACAGTATCCTTGATTGGCTGGACTGGTTGTGAGGTGCTTTTTGAAGCAAGATCTTTTTGATACCGATGTTAATCCAAGAAGTGTTTCATTCAGTTGTTTGGCCAGTGTTCCCCTTTCTCTGTTTCACTCTTCAATTGCAATGCTTTTGTTTATTTTTATGAATCATGATTAGGTTAAGCTTTCTAGTCAGAGCTTGAATTTTGGCTTTCTTCATGAAGGCGGTATTTGTGTTAAAACAGTTTCCTTGGTATTTGGTTCTTCTGTGGCCAACATAAACTTTTGTTTGGAATCATAATGTGACAGCCATGGAATTAGTGAATAGATATTTGGTGCTGAGATCCAAATGGTGTACTGAGTTGTTGTATGTGAATATTGTATCATGAACATATTGGTTATCGTACTTTCTGCTGTAATAAATTCTAAATTATCTTTTTACATGATATAATGGTAATCTGTAGTAGATGCCAACGTAATTTTGTTTCGGAAGTTTTTGTTTTTCTTCAATTCCTTGTTTATCTCATTTCTCTATGTTACAAATTTTAAAGTTACAAGTTTTTGGTGAATGTTACAAACTTTTTAAACATAGTTATAAATTTTCGGAAACTAATTACAAGTCTAAAAAATTTTCTACTAAAAAAACTTGTAAGTTGTTATTATTAATATTGCCTACAAAGTCTATAATTTACAAGTCTATAATTTTTCAAAATAAAGTTTTGCCTACAAAGTATAATATTTTAAATAAGAAAGAGTATGCATCTTCAAGAAAGTTCCTTGGTAGTTGTTTTTTCCACCGGTTTTCTTATTAATATTGACGACAAGACTGTTATCTATGTATGATGACATTGATTTAAATCCACCGTCCTTTATTGTGTGTTGAGGGAAGTTTTATCCTTGCGGTGGATGCTTCTGCATCTAACTCTCTTATGCACTCATCAATAATATCGATGGTACAACATGAGTCATCTATGCAGACATCCTTATAAATTTGGATAGGATAAACTCGACCTTCTCGTCACCCACTTCGAAAGTCATTTTCCCTCTTTTGACATCTATTATAGCCCAAGTTATTGATAAGAATGGTTTACCTAAAAATTCGTCTTCCTTAATGTCCATTACGACGAAGTCTATTGGAATATAAAGTTGACCAATCCTAACTCGAATGTCTTCTAATATACCGATTGGATATTTAACTGATCGATCAGCCAGTTGAAGGGACATCCTAGTTAGTTATATGTCTCCCAAGTCCAACCTATTGTAAACAGCTAAAGGTATCAAACTCACACTGACTCCTAAGTCTAGCAGTGTTTTATCAATAACATGACTTCCTAGAATACATGGTATAAAAAAACTTCCAAGGTCTTTCTCTTTCTTGGATAATTTGTTCTCAGCAATTGCGTTGCATTCCAATGGTGTAGGACGTCAAGCTTGCACTTGTTTGTTAAGATATCTTTCAAGAATTTAGCATATGATGGAATCAGGGTAATAGCTTAAGTGAAGGGTATTTCGACATGGAGTTTTTCGATCACCTTTGAAAACTTCTTATATTGGGTGTCTAGTTTGGTTTGTTTAAGTCTTTGTAGATATGGGATTTGTGGTTTATAAGCAGGGGGTGGTACATAAACTTGGTTATCATTCTCTGCTTCCTTATTTTTAACTTCTTCTTCTCTCTGGATCTCTGGTTCTACTACTCGTTTTTCGAGTGTAGTCACAAAGTTTCCTTTTTGTGGCTCCAATTTTCTTAGCAAGTTGTTATTCAACCAAGGATCTAAAGGTCCATCATATGTAGTTCCGTTTCTTAGGGAAATAGTATTAGCATGACCTTTAGGATTAGGTTGAGGTTGTCCAGGGAATGATTCTCCTGGCGTAGCCTGAACAACTTATTGTTGTGCTACTTAAGAGATTTGGGATTCTAGGATCTTGTTGTGTGTTACCACATAATCGACTTTGGTGTCTAATTGTGTGATCAGCTCATTCATATAAATGTTTTGGTTCATGGATTCTTTATCTTGCTGAGTTTGAGCTGAAATGAAGCTCTCCATGATCTTTTCTAGGTTTGATTTTCTAAGGGACAACTTGAATTGGCTGTGTCGGTATTTGAGCTTGGAAACCTGATGGTTTATTGATGGGCTAAAGACGTGTCTACTTATGCGTCTAGCGGTATCTTACTGCAAGTGCACAGCCTATCGAAGTAATATTTAAGATTATCGATCCACAGGGATTCTATGGTTACTTAGTGCTAGATGAACTTCTAGTTTAGCTAAGGCGAATGGTTGTCACGATTTTTGTTGGTTTTTAAGACTATTAAAGGCGGAATTAAATTTAAATTTTAATAAGGTAATACTAAGGCGGTCGGTATGTAACTATACTAACTTAGGTGGGTCAATCTAACCTAGGCTTATAAAGGTGTTCACTTAATCTATTCGGTAGAGATTACCAGTTTAAATACCCTCAACTCACACTCTCGTGGTCTTATATCGGATCTTATCCCTAAAGCCCTATGCCTGCTCTCGCTAGCCCATAAGTGTTTAGAGGTAATTTTTGGAAACTAAATAATTCTAATTTATCTTAAAGCGCTCTCGCTGTGTTTAATTTAAATGCCTAACTTTAGCTATCTGGTTAAAATCTCACACTCTCGTGGTCTTGACCTAACCTAATACTCTTTTCTTACTCTCGTAACGAAAAGATCTATTTCGATTAAAAAGTATCAGCCAGAATGTTAAGTGATTAATTATTTTCAGCCTATGGTTATATTTTACCGGTTAAGTTTGTTATAACTACATACCGCCCTAAGGTGTTTAGCTACTCATCGATGTTGAACCAGACAGAGACAGAGAATTTAATAATAACGTACTCATGGCGGAAAAATAAATAAACATTATAACTAAATTAAATTGCAATATAATGAAAAACCTGGTTAACAAATATTCGAGCAGACTCCTTCTTCCACAGACCGGAAAGCTTGGAGTTGGCGGGGATTGAAAATAAACGAATGCTGAAGGTTTAGAAACAGATAAATGTATAACAATTTCCTGATGTTGGAAATTGTTATATGGTTGGTTTGGATACAAATAAAAACGAAACAGAAAACTAAAAATAATGCGGGAATGGAAAAGGCTGGTTCGTAATACAGTTCGGCAGAGCTTCCGCAGAAATTTGAATAAAGAATATCCTCTCCCTGTGTTCACAGAACTTGTACTATTTATAGAGTCCTTAATGGGCTGGATTTTTGGTCCTTTGTTGCATGGGCCTTGCTGAAGTTGTTGAAGGAATGCTGGAACGTGGCAACAAAATAGGAGAAGTGGTCTTCACGTAATGCCAATAGGAGAAGTGGTCTTCACGTAATGCCTTGACGTAGTCTGAGTCAAAACCAAATTTTACCCTTGTCACGGTCGTGTCAAGGTCTTCACGTTCGTAACTTGAGGCTTTTAAGTGTCACGGTCGTGACCACTCTCTTACGGTCGTGATGTATCAAATTGGGGTGTCACGGTTGTGACACCCTTGTGACGATCGTGGCTGAAACAAATTATGCAGTCTTTTGCAGGCTTCTTCATTTCTTCATCTCTTTATGGTTTCTTTTGTTCCTTTTGCTCTTAATTCATGATTTAGCTCCATATAATGATGTACCTGCAAAATGGTAAGAAAAACTCGAGAAATCGAGTGTTAAAACGGTGAATATGCGATAAAACGTTAATGAAACCTAGCAATATAATCGATGCGTTTTCTCGTTATAAAACTTCCCCAAACTTAAACCTTTGCTTGTCCTCAAGCAAATAGTCGGTTGAAAATCGGCGGACAAGATTTTATTCACGCATACTCATAACAAACCGTACGAGGGATCGTTTTGTCGGATAATTCGGTACTTTGATAGAACACTACCGATACACTAATGACACAAGCAACAAGCTATGTCGTCGACTTCCCGTTAAACGAAACAATCGGCAATTACATTACGATTTCACCTGGAGTTTTTCGATCTTATTTCGCCCGGTTTCATTCTAGCGCAATCACATTAAGCCCTTTGCCTTAGCACGCACGTAGTGGAGTAGCCGGTTAGCGACTTTGATCCTTTTTGAGCACGAGGTCTGGTACACGAGTGTGGTAACCCTACATATTTTATCCGATTTGGAAGTTGTGGGGGATCGAGCCGTAGCACACCCTACCGAGTTCAGAACCAGTACCTCTGAGCCAACTTGCAACGGACTCCTTCTCATATTTCTCGTTTCTTATATGCGACCGTGTACTTTGGTGCAATTTCTTTTTATTTTGCATCGAGACATGAAGGATCATTATTGATTAGGAATCAAACGCTTATATTCATCGGCTCCCCACGTGGTTTGTGTTCAGACGGTGCTGACTGCTAGTATAAACTACTAGGGGTTGCTTTTGAACTGAAACTAAAAGTGTACTCGTAATGGTAATCGGGATGGAATTTCTTAAGTAGGGAGTCAAAGATGTCAAGATTGTATTGGTCTTGTTTAATCGTTCTCGGCTTCCTAATTACGATTCCGTAGGTAAGTCGGGTAATGCGAATAATTAAAGATTTTTTTTCTGGTATAGCTAAATAATCGGGGAAAGTTCGAAATTAAAGAAAATAGCACAAAGATTTGCTCATTTCATTAACTTGCGAAAAGAAATACAACGGAATTGAAAATACAACGAAATGGAAAAGTGCGGAAATGAAAGGTACCTCTCCCACACTATATCAGACATTGTCCTCAATGTTGTGATATAAATGCGGTAAAAGTACAGTACAACGACAAAAGCGAAAACAAACATAAGCAAACTAAAACTATGGCTGCTGAGGACCGCGGGCTCGGCCTCTGGTGCGGGAGCGGCGTCTGGAAGGAGTCGCTTCGGGATCAGAACCGGTGCCGGAGGCAGCAGTGATGCTAATGCGGAGGGCTTCTAGCTCGCTGAAAATTTCTCCAAACCTCTCATTAGTAGCTTCCTGGTTTGCTGCAATAGTGCTGAGTAAAGCATCATACTGCGCCTTCTGCCTTCGCTCCAGTGCGGCGTTCATCTAGTTCTGCTG